GCAGGCTCCAGCCTGCCTCTCCCGTTCCCGGTGAGAAGGCGGAGGCGCCCGGACGCCTTTCCCAGCTCTGCACGGTGTTCGTGTTGGAACTGTGTTAAGGAGGGCACACCAGGAAGCCTGTGCTCAGCGTCCCAGGGCGGGACTCCGGGAACACCGTCTGCACGGCCCGCTGTGCAGGGGGCGTACCTGGGGCCCATACAGCACATGTGAGGGCGGGACGTGACCCGCTCCTGCTGACTCGCCAGCCTGACCCTCCCGGGGACCCTCAGCTCTGCCCTTCATCCCCGATCCTGCTCCTTCCCGTGGAGCTCCCATGCAGGCTGCCGGGGGGTGGGGGGTGGGGGGGAGGGGTGTCACAGACCCGGGCCTGGGCACAGCGGCCACAGCGGACTCCAGCTGTTCAGAACGTCCTTAGCCATCTTGCATCACATCTCTGGTCAGCGCGAGACCCCCACCCCAGCCCCACACAGAAGCCAGAGGGTGCATGCCCAGGCTGCTGTGGGGGTCTCTGCAGCGGTGGCGTCCTCTGCAGGAGGAGAAGGGTGCTGCCCAGCGCACTGACGCCCCCACCCTCCGGCAGGTGCACTGACCCCCCGGCAGGCGCACTGACCCCCCGGCAGGTGCACTGACCTCCAGCCGGCCCAGGTTGGCAGCTTTCCACCTGGGCTGCGAGGCTGTGAGGCCACGAGACTGCGGCCTCAGTCCTGCTCGCTCTCCCCACGGGAACACCACACGTGACTGCACGCACGGTCAGACAGTGGCCCTGCAACCGCCTTGGTGGACTCAGTGTCGACGAGCATGATCTGCTGGCTCAGCGTGCAGGAGGACGACCGCTGAGTGTCTGGGTTACCCACCTGCTCTCGCCTTCTGTTTGTGAACAGTGCCTGTGCAATTCTGCTTCCAGCTTGGAAAAGGCCCACCTGGTTTCCTACCTCTGTGCGCACGGCTCCCGGAACCAGGGCGCCGGCAGCACCTGGAGAGGGCCGTGCTTCTGTGGGGCTCTGGAGGCACCTGTTGCACAGGGCCTGTGGGCCTCAGACCGCTGAACTCCGCCCCGTTCAGCTGGAGACTGTGTGTGCAGGACGGGCTGCACGGCGCGAGTCCCGCAGCGTCCCTGCGTCTGCTGGCCATGGTCTCACACCAGCCTCTAGTGGCCCACGCTCAGGGGCTCCGAGCCCCACACCAGGTGGCTGAGCTGGCAGGGAAGGGGTGTGGGCTGCATGGTGGGCTGCATCGAGCACGGCTCCATAGAGAATCTACACAGCAGAGAAGCCCAGGGCAGGAAGCCAGGGCAGGCAGGCCACGGCAGGTCTGCGGAGGACGTGGCCTCTGCTGTGATCACTGCCTGGCAGAGCTGCAGCCGGAGGAGGGAGTCCCCGCGTCTAGTGGTGGGAAGTACGCAGGTGGTGGGTGGTTTCCCTTACCCCAGCCAGCTGTCCCTGTGTTCGCTGGAAGACCTGGCACGTTCCATGGTGACATTTCCCTTCACGCACTGTTGTCATTTCTCAAATGGTGAAAATTCAGCGCGTTTTAGTTTAAACTACCATCAGCTATCATGGAGTCTGGGAGTGGTCTGCAGGACATGGACTTTCATGGGGTTTACGGTGTTTTCTGTTTGTTTTTGTTTTGTTTTGCTGGTTTTGCCGGCCGGCACAATGCTTGCTGGAGAGAGAGAACGTGAGAAAGCACCTGTCCCCAGCTTGGATGGCCACGCCACCATCCTCCCCTCCACTGCCTCCTCCTTGGGGACGCTGGGCGCACACAGGTCCTGTGCGTTTCTCAAGCCACTGGGTCCAGGACACGGACCTCCCAGGTGGCGTGTGGGACTCAGCCATCCTCACCGCCCTGCCACTGGCCAGCCCCAGGACAAGGGCTCTTACATCGGATCGGAGGGGCAGCTCAGAGTCCTGGGAGAAGAGTGTGGGGTGGCCGGCCGCCTGGAAGCACCGCCTCCCTCGGTCCGGCCAGCACTCACACTTTGGTCCATGCCTGACCTCGGCGCACACGGCTGTTTTCCACACCCCGTCTCAGGGAACGACACCGCCCTGTTCTCGAGTGGGGGTGGTGCGTGTGGTTTATCTCTTCCATCCTTAAGCCGTAGCCACGGTCTTCTCAGAGTCAGAAGTAAATCGGCATCGCTGTCCTCTGCGCAGCGACAGGAGGCGTTGGGACGCGTGACCGCAGCTCTGGGTGAGGAGCCTGCTGTCAGCCTCGCCACGCTCTCTCCACGCTTGGAGCGATGGGACCATGCGGCCAGGACGACCCCCTGGCAAGTCAGAAGCGTGTGCAACCCCTGGTTTGCAAGCCAAACCCATGTGCCTACGAGTGGGAGGTGACGGCCTCGCACCCAGACGTGGGGCTGTGGCAGCTTCGTCGCCCGACCCGAGTCGTTTCCCGCATTTGACTCCGAAGAAAGCGTGGCGCCCTCGCACACGGAACGGAGGACCCGTCTGGGCCCCGCTCCGCCGCGGAGGCCGTGCTGCACAGGGTGCACTTCCGCCCACAGTGGGGAGAGCCTGAGCAGAAAGGAGCCCTTTGGGTTTGTTTTAAAAGTAGGTGACACCTTTTAGGTTAAATGTCCCTTTTTGCATTACATGACGTATAAACCTTTAGCACATGTCATCAGTGGTGTATATGAATACATTTTATTTCCTAATTAAGAATATTGTGTTGTTGGGGTCGGCAGGTGGTGTAGTGGTAAGGGCACTGGACTTCCACGTGGTCGACTGTTCGAGTCCCAGAGCCAGCGGCTTGAAAATCACACTGGGCATGCGTGCCCCAAATCCCAGGAGGAGAATGGAGGGGAGGGGTCCCGCAGCGCAGTCTCCTCCCCGGGGCGAGCCCATGTAACTCTAGCAGAACAAACAGCTCTCTTGAGAAGAATATCGTGTTGCTTTGCACTGTTTGCGACGGTGGGATTCGATCAGGAGGCGTGTACTGCGGCCCATCGCGCAGCCGTGGCCGCCGCAGCCTGTAGCCCTTGCTCAGCTGTGTGAGGACACCACCTCGCACGCTGAGCGCTTTCCCGGGAGAGCACGGTTCGCCCCCACACCAGGCTCTGCTCAGTCTAAGAGGCGAGCTCAGCGGGCGGGTCCGCAGGGCCCTCAGGGCTGCCCACGCTCTGGTCCGCTCCGGCTCACTGAGCCCCACCCCCAGCTCTGCTTTGGGGCGTTCCCACTGGCCTGTCGGGTCTTCCTGTGGCCTCCTAGGCTGGCTGTGCCCCGGGACCTGTGTCCCCGGCGGGCCCCATCCCAGCATCTGTGCCCGCACGCGTGTCTCTCCGAGGAGGCCCACGAGAGGTTGTACCTTTCCTTCGAAAGTCACATTCTCCCAGGGGTGTGCTTTTGTCCCACCTCCACCCCCCATAGGTGGTAAACTGTGCCCCCCCAGTTCGCAAAGGGGCCCGGCCCAGTCATTCTCCCAGTTAACCCCAACCAGCAAGGAGTTGCACCTGTTCTCTGATCTGCCAGTTTAATGGGATGGAAACGGCAGGCCATGCACCTGTGCCTGCCGTGCGGAGGAGCACCGAGGACAGCCTTCCCCAAGCGACGTGCTGGTCTGTGAGTGGTCTGGCTGCCATTGCCGGCCACCACGGGTCCAAGCCAGCAGGCTGCCAGCCCACAGGCCACTGGCTTCATGGTGGCCCCGGGCGCCCACTGGCCCTCTCCTGAGGGCGAGCTTCCTACCGGGCAGCCATTGTCAGTCCTCGGGAGGGTGACGGGGATGTCCCTTCAGCCTCTGCTGGGACTCACAGAGCCTGTCTCCAGACACCGGCTAGACTCCCAAGCATTCAAGGCCCTTCAAAAGAACCCCTGAGAACTTTTCTTCCTAAAAATGTTATTCTAAATCTCACTAGCTGTACGAAACTGCCTTCTGGCCAGGGTAGGGATGGTCCGGGTGGCCGGGAACCCCGAAGTCTGCACTGCGTCCTCGGCCAGCAGGAACATGGGGCCTTCCATCCGAGGTCTGGCAGCCTGCCGGGCACACAGAGCCTGAGACGCCCTGCCCTGCCTCCTGTCCTCCCTCTTGGTGTCTGTCTTCCTAGCAAACCCTTCTGGAGTCTGCTTTACAAACACCGGCATCGGGCCAGATGTGGCCGAGGAGGAACTGTGCCTGTCACCCTCCTTGGTACATTTGCGTCCGTGTGGACCAGAAGAAAGATGAGGCCCTCCTGGTGGGTCACAGCCACCACGAGCTGAGGGTCTCAGCAAAGTCCCCTGCGTCCTCTGTACCACGTCCTCTTCCACAGAGCAGGGACAGTGCTTTCTACCTTACGCCAGCCTCGCGGCCCTCCCGCAGGTGCCGGGGGAGCGCGTGGAGGAAAACCTGTGGCCCATGAGGCTGGGAGGCCGGCTCCTGGTCAGGGTTCCCATGGGGACACGCGGAGGGAAAGGCCTGCATCACTCTGGAAGTTGCAGGACAGACGGCAGAGAGGCTCCGGGGTTGCAGACGGGCATGGTGCGAGGGCAGGGGGCGCTGGCAGTCCTGGCAGCTGTGCGGGCACACGCGTGGGCTCAGGGAAGGTGCAGCCCCTCCCCGTGTACTCCGTTACACGGAACCCGCGTGTCCTGTGTTCTGGCTCCACGGTCATGGAACCAAGCCCTCTCGCAACACATGGGCGCTGGCGTGAGGGGCAGAGCTCCTGCAGACGGTACCGGCAGCAGCCTCTGAGGCGGCCAGAAAAAAAACTGAGGCGCCACGCCTGATGTCAGCCAGCCACATCCGTGTGCTCTGTCCTCAGTGCCGGGGCCTTGCGGGTGGCGCTGTGGTCGTGAGGTCGTGAGCCCCCGCCTATGGTCTGGCAGGTCGGCGGTGCCGACCCAGCTGGGTCCTGGGAAGTAACCTCCCTGCGGCCAGCGTGGACTGTGGCTGGTGTCCGCACGGTGGTCTCAGTGTTCAGGTGGCCCAGGGCCGTGGCTCCGGGTACGAAAGCACTTCTCCCTGTTACAGAGCCATGCCGGGGCCAGTTCTGTGAGCTCTGAAATGTGACTCTTTTCCAGGTTGCCCTGGTGCCAAAAAGCACGAGTTTCTAACCAGCGTCCTGGATGCGCTGTCCACGGACATGGTCCACGCCGTGTCTGACCCCTCATCGGCATCTGGCAGGTAGGAGTGATGGGCAGCCAAGAGCTGCAGAGAGGGAGGAGGCCCAACACGGGGTCTGCTCCAACGACGTGACAGCACTCCCTAGGCTTTTCTTGCAGTTAAGCTGGTGCCACCGTGGGAGGAAGCCGCGGACGCGGCCAGGCCTGCCGCGCATGGGGAGGGTCCTGTGCTGTTGGCGGGGGGAGGGGAAGAGATGGGGAGCACCCTCGCACCCTCCTCCGACAGCTTTGCCTTTGGAGTTGCTCTGAGAGCTACCGACTAGTCAGGGCACGTGGGGCCGTGTGCCTGGCAGGCTGAAGCCACGTGGGCGGCCGGGCACATGCCTGGCCAACCCTGAGAAGCCAGTGCCGTGGCATGAGCCTGAGGACTGAGCCACGGGGAGACCCAGGTGAAACCCCACATGCACACGTACATGCGCACACACACGCACACATGTGAACAGACAGCTCTTGGAGAAGGTACATCTCTACCATTTTGTACAGTTTCAAAAGTCCACTCACACCCAGGACTCTAGGAGAGTTTTCACTTTCTTAAGACAGTGAGCATTTTCTTTTTATTTCTCACATTACTTTTTTTCCCAGTTACATGTTTTTTCTACATGGGTCAAACTTTTTTTTAAAGAGGTTTTTGCCTTAGAGTGTGTGTGCTTCCTGGGGGGAGCAGAGAGCGAGAGCGAGAGAGCGAGCGAGAGGCAGACACAGTGAGAGGAAAGTGAGAAGCACCCCCAGGGGAATGGCCATGCTCAATCCCTTCTCTTCTATTCCTTTTCCCGGGATCTTGGGTATGCACACACATGCATCTGGCATGACTTTCCAGCCACCGGGTCCAGGCCCTGAGCTGTGGTCGACCACGTGGGAGTCCAGCAATGTAGTCAGTATGCCATCTGCTTTCAGTACAAGGAAAATGTCTCGTTACAGCTTTAAGGGATATTTTGATTTGCTTTTCTCAGTCTACCTGCAACATCAGTGGTATGCAAATGAATCACATTTGGGGCCCATCTCACAGGGGCTCTGTTTTCCAGCTCAGGGGAGCAGAGTTCGGGCTGAGCAGGCTTTGTGTTTTAGGAGCCAGCCGGTGCACCTCTGCCTGCCCAAATTCACTGCATCACTTGCAAGTTTGAAACCGACTTAAAACAAGTTTGCCAAGCCACGTTCCCTGCTTATATGTCTGTGGCCGGGGTTTGCCGCGCA